GCCGTGTCTCAGGAAAGCTCTGTTTATGAAAGCAGGCGGTGGAGCCGACGTGACCGTGCTGACAGGAGAAGAGAGACATCTGCGCCATCAGATCACTGGGACAGTGGACTCCACAGAATTAAACGCTCTCCAGGAATCCCATGATGCGGGGAGAGAAAGGCTGAAGCCCTGGTGGCAGTCAGAGGAGGGACCTACTTCTGGAAAGAGATTCTACACATTCTAACAACTCATCAGACTGTTCTGTGGGGACAGGTCAGAGCCAGGACAGCGGTGGGGCGTGATGGACTAACCTTGCCCATCCTGGACCAGGCTGCTGAGTCGTGCAGACCTCTTGCCTCTCTCTTGAAAGCTAAACCTCGTATCAGGACACCAAAGCAGACATGGGGGTCACCTCCCAGTACGACCACACTGAACACCTCCTTTCTCTGCTCTTCATTATTGCTAGTCGCTTTAATTGGTGTAGTGGGGACAGGTGGCCAAGCCTGGCTTGTCGGGGTCCCCAAAGCTCGGGCCGTCGGTGGTACTGGCTCCAGCTGTACGATGCTGACACTATCAGGGCAGAGGATGGCTACGAGCTGCAGCAGCCTGACTGAGACGTGACACACTCGAGGAAGGGTCACCAAAGCAAGGCCAGGAGAGGGATCTTCTAGTAGGAACATGAGTGGATGGCTGGAGAACGGAGGATGGGGTAATGTGGCTGGAAAATGAACGGAGACCAGAGAGCTGAGGCCCACTCCAAGTGCTCACTCCCCGCCTGCCTCTCCCTGTAAGTGGATGGTTGGACTTATTTGTTGGAGGGGAAATTGAGGCACAGGGAGGTGACACACTTGCTCAAGGCCACCTGGCTTAGTTGGGCCATGATGCTCCTCCATTCGCCTTTCCTAAGAACCAGATAGGAATTGCAGTCACCCTGGGAGCAGAGCTGTGCCTTCAGGAGACAAAGGGTCATGGGAGCCAGCAGTGATTGACATTTGTCCAGCACTGATCTTGTGTCATACCCCCCTTCTCCGAGTGTCACAGAAACAAAGCATCTCCAATCAGTCCTGTGGGGTAGGGAATGATTGCTACCATGGGACAAAGGAGAACACAGAAGCATCCAGAAATTGTACCATTGGCTTGAAGTTATGGATTAGCCAGTGACTGACCTGGGATACAAATCCAGGTTATGAGGCCCCAGGAGCTCTGTGCAAATGTTTACACAATCACACATACCCATGTGTGCAAATACACCTTTGCATCCAAATGTACTTTTGCACACATACAAGCAAACACACACACACACACACACACACACACACACACACACACACCCCTACCATGGAGAAGCAGTGGCTTTAGCAGAAGGGTGTTAAGTCACAGAGGCCAGCATAAGCCACATCTGCAAGGCTGCTCTTCTGGGCTGCAGTCGCTAGGTATATGGGCTGACGGGAGAAGAGGCCGAACCTGGGATCTATAATTGTAGCAGTAGGCTGCCTGTCCTGTTCCACCAACACTGGGCTCCTCAGATGCAGAATGTGCTGCCCAGCATTGGTGACTGGCAGTTTGCAGTCGCATCCCTCAGCAAACTGTGAGGACCAACAGCATACTCTAACAGCCTGCCTTCCCTTTCTTACCTGTAAGCAGTGTGAGCCCTCTGCGGAGCTACTGAGGAGAGTGAGGTGAAGTGTCAGGAGCCATGCCCAGCACATGGTAAGTACTCAGTACGTGCACATGTAACACATGCCCTGTGCACACGTGGTTCCCCGCCTCCCAGCATCAGACAGACCCTGGGTGCCTCCAAGCATCACTTGGCTGCTCATTGTTTTGAAGTTCCATTGACCCGGGCACTCAAATGAAATGTCAGCATCAACCACAACCAGAGTCACCTGCCTTATTTCCCTGTGCCAGCCAGACTGAACAGGGGTCACACAATTATTTTCTTTGTCCCTCCTGTTCCTTCTCTGTGGGCGTTGACATGGGATGACAGCCGCACCTGGGCTTGTGTTTAAATCGCCTCGGGAATGCACAGGAAATTGTCTGGCTTGGGGATGAAGAGTCGGAGGAGCAGGGAGTTCATAAGACAGGCCAAGAGGAAGGCCAAGGAGCAGAGAGAGACCAGGGTGGGATGAGACCTTAAAAAAGCTTCCACAGCCCAAGTAAAGTTAAATGTTCCCATGGGATGTTTCCAGAGAGTGACAGGATGGCCCCTCCCAGCAGCCAGTGGAAGATAAGGAGTTGAGCCCTGTTCTCACCAAGGCCTTCCTCTGAGCCACAGGCCAGGTCCACCCCCTCCTGCCTGAATCTGCTCCCCATCCCAGAACAGCTGTCTGCCCTTGCTGTTCCTGAGGCACAACCAGGAAGCGGTCCTGGTCCCCTCACAGTCCTGCACTTACTGTCCCTGTCCCAGTCTCAAGGCTCTGCATGCAGGTCGCAGTCCTAAGGGGCAAGAGAGCTCTGTCTCCACACACTGAGTCTAAGAGGCCACATGCTGTGGTGGTCTCTGCCGCCTACTCCCTCCCACCCACTCCCACCCACCCACTCCCACTCCCCCACCCACTCCCACCCACCCACTCCCACACCCACTCCCACCCACCCACTCCCACCCACTCCCCCTACTCCCCCCACACACTCCCCCCACTCCCTCACCCACTCCCTCTTACACACTCCCTCTTACACACTCCCCCCACCCACTCCCTCTTACACACTCCCTCTTGCACACCCCCCCACTCCCCCCCACTCCCCCTACTCCCTCTACCCACTCCCCCCCACTCTCCCCCCACTCCCCTCACCCACTCCCCCACCCACTCTCTCTTACACACTCCCCCCACCCACTCCCCTCACCCACTCCCTCACCCACTCCCCCCACCCACTTCCCCACCCACTCCCTTGTCCACTCCCCCCACCCACTCCCCCACCCACTCCCACCCACCCACTCCCACTCCCTTATCCACTCCCCCCACCCACTCCCCCACTCACTCCCTCTTACACACTCCCCCCTACTCCCCCTACTCCCTCCACCCACTCCCCTCCACTCCCCCACCCACTCCCTCACCCACTCCCTCACCCACTCCCTCACCCACTCTCTGCTTACCTGCTCTCTGCCATCCACCCCCCTGTTTTCTGAAAGGTCTTAGGTAGCTATCTGCTCCCTGCGCTGTGGGTGAACTCTCAGAAGTCCCATAGGGGAGAGATCCATCTCCCGCCACTCCCCGCATCCTCCAGCCCCAAGCACCTAGAACCTGAACATCTTGCTGGGTGAGTGAGTGAGTGAGTGAATGGAAGGACTGCCTGGTCACTGTAGAAAGAGGTTTCTTCTCTCCCCTTACAGAGTGAACTCTGCACAAATTCCCTGGCATTGTGGTAAGTGCTCAGTCGTTGGGTTGCATCTTGCATCGCCTTGAACTTGAATCCTATCCTTTGCTCTGCCCATCCCCCACCCCTTCCCTGAAAGACCCAGAGCTCCTGGAGGTCAAGAGCTGGGCTTCATGAGTCTCTGCTTCTGTAAAATCCTTTGTACTTGACCAGTTCTCAGAGACCCCAGGGCTGGCCTGGGCTGACTTCAGCTGGACTGGGATGGGATGATTACATTAGGTGAGGGGGAGGAGGGTTGAACTGGAGTGGAGTGGGTTGGAGTGGGGCGGGTTAGGGTAGAAAGGTCGGGTAGATTGCAGTGGGTAGAGCTGTATGTCTGGGCTGGGTTCATTGAACTCCGCGGGTTGGGTGGAAAGCTGAGTCACCCTCCAAGTTCATTCACTCTCCTGCTTTCCCAGACCGCACGAAGCTGACCCATCAGCAGAAGCTGGTCAGTCCCCAGCCTCTGCATCCACTGCTCCCTTTGTCCAGGTGACTGTCCCTCTGGTTTACTCCCGCGAGCTCCTGTTTGTACCTCCAACTCTCTGCCTCTGTGAATTGCTCCCTCACCACCTTGCTCGCAGCCTCAGTCCATCTTATTATCACACCTGGTTCCTGGCTCGGACTTTCAAATGCTAAGCCCACACACATTCAGAGTGAGGTGGGAGGACATCTGAGAGTGGGAAAGACACGAGCCAGGTGGTTAATGTCCACATCTCCCGTGGAGAAGGTCAGCTCCAGGAGGCAGGGATTGTGGGACTTGCCTTTGTCTAACCCACCCCAACCCAATCCATCGCACAGGTGAGGGGCTCAGAAAGCCCATGTTAGACACAAACACACAGTCATGATGGGAAGAAGAAATGACTCAGCCTAACCCAGGAGGTAGGTCTCAGCTGGGCGGATACCGGTTCACCAAGTATGACAGCGTACCCGCTGGCACGGCCATGTCTGTCCCAAGCACTGGCCACAGGAGTACACACAGCCATTTTAGACTTGACTTGTGCGAAGAAAGCAGATGAATAACACAACGTGGAGAGAAAAAATCAGGCGGGGGTCAGGGGCTCAAGAGAAACAGGGAGTTGCTTAGATAGGTGACGGGGAGGCCTCCTGGGAGAAGACATTGCAGAGGGGTCCTGGGTGCATGGAAAACGGGGAGAACATATGTCTTGGCTTCCAGAGGTGACATCCAGAAGCCCCAGCCTAAGATGGCCGTGAGCTTGGCCTGTGAGAAGGAGAACAAGGGGTGATCTATAGGGGTGGCTTATGGGGATTAGCAGACTGGAGGAGCCAGTAAGAAGGTGGTGTAGCAAGAGGGGTCCCCCAGGACCCACAGAGCTCCCGTGCCCAGGGCACAACTCCACAGCTTGTGGGGACTAACTAATACATGTATTCTATCCTCCTGCATCCAAACTAAACTTTGGGGTAGTTTTTTTTTGAGTATGTGTGTAATGTTTCTGGATATTTTATGAACATTATTAATATTATTATATGACATAAAAACAAACCCTTCAGAAAAACACATCAGGCTATTGGCTATTGCCCCCTGTCCCAGTGATATCTCAGGGCTATGATGTCACAGCTTCACAGTATCTCTGAGGCCATGCGTTATGTGAAATATATATGTATATGCATATACACACACATTTATTGTAAAACAGGGTCATGAACTTGAACGAGAGCAAGGGGAGGTATATAGGAGAGTTTGGAGTGAAGAAAAGGAAGGGGAAATGATATAACCCCAAAAAATACAATAACTTTTTAAATATTAAAAGGAACAACTTTAAAAAAGAAAAGTTGGGTGTTCATCTCCACAGTGTTTGGATTAATTTCTCAAAGATAAAGCTAGTTCACAAACATTAAATAACCATGTGTCAAAACTTATTTACCTCAGTCGTTAATGAGAGATCCAGGAAGACTTCAGAGTCAACTCAAGGGAGACACAGTTATGTGCTGCGAGGGGTGTAGAGGTGGATTTGATGGATGGAAGGGAAGCTGCTTCCTTCTGGTGGGGAGGGGGGGTCGCCTGATCACCTGAGGCAGGGGAATGACTTCATTGTCAGTTTACTCCAATCAACATCTGTCAGGACAGGAGTGTGAAAAGTCTAGTCAGACACAGCGAAGGTCAGAGGTCACTTGGGCTCATGATCCAGACAAGACACCCACTGAGGTTCAAGTTCTTCCCCTTTTTCCCACCAGATTGGCTTTTGATGGACAGGAGGAGCTCAAGGTGCTGTAACGCTTGAGACAGTCCCATGGCACACCTAATCAGCCTTTTGAATGTCTATTGGGTGAGTCTCCAGCTATCTCCCCTGGACCCCGAAGTACTGTTACTCTGTGTTTGTACTTGTGCATGTTCGTGTGTGTGTGTGTGTGTCTGTGTCTCTCTGTGTGTATGTGTGTGTGCATTTCTGCATGTGTGTGTGTATTTCTGCATGTGTGTGTGTATGTTTGTGTCTGTGTGTGTATGTTTGTGTCTGTATGTGTGTCTGTGTCTCTGTGTGTGTATGTGTGTGTGCATTTCTGCATGTGTGTTTGTGTCTGTGTGTGTGTGTGAGCATGCGTGCTTTATGCAAGAGTCTGTATGTGTGTATGTGCCTCTGTGTGTGTGTGTGTGTGTGTGTGTGTGTGTGTGTGTGTGTGTGTGTACACGCACATGTGTGTACAGTAAAGTTCAGAAGTCAACCTCAGGTATATTCCTCAGGAATGATGCCCACCTTATTTTTTAAGGCAGCATCTCTCACTGACCTGGAACACACGGCTTCCCAGGGATCCTCCTGTCTCCACCTTCCCAGTGCTGAGATGGCAGGTCTGCATCATCACTATGCCCAGATTTCCTGTTTGTGTTCTGGGAATCTGAACTCAGCCCCGCACACTTGCACTTTCCCATAGGACCGTCTTCCCAACCCTTGTATTTTTTAAATCAACGGAGTGCGCCATGCCGTGCCATGGTGCTGACTCCACCCCTGCCCTGTGTCTCCTGGAGGTCTCAGGCAGGTGGCTTCTGAGGTCTTGCTGCTCTTGAAGCCACAGAAGCCCACATTTCTCAGGTGCCTCACGTCATGGTGCAGCTGTTTAGACACTTATTTATTGCACATTAATACTGTGGGATTCTATTGTCCTTTTTTATTATAAACAGTATCCTGAGTCAGTCCCTTTTATCTGTCCTTGAGTGTAGTGAGGACAACGGTCGGATTGTAACCGTGTCTACACTGGTCGCTCTGTTTACAAACCTCATTCTGGAGTAAGAGAGCTTCCTGTGGTAAGATGCAGGAGGAAGGAGGGCGCAGAGGTGGCCTGGGAGGGTCGACAGCCACGTTTCCCCTCCTGTACCAACAGCCCAGTTCTCTTCAGGAGAACAAGGCCTTCCCACACACACTCAGGAAGGCCTGCCAATCAAGGTGACTGGCCCCTCACCCAGGCGGTCTGTGCTTTCTTCTTGGAAGCTGCTCCTTAAATAGGGTGACCAAAACATCACAAGCAGCTGAAACTGGTCCCTCTGTGGCCAAACCTGTTCCTGTAGCTCACAGAGAGCCCTGACCCAAAACAAAAGAAAGCAAAACCGTGAACAGAAACCCCACTGGAAAAACTGAAAGGATGGCTTGGGGTGGGGAGTGCTCCATCGGCACGCACAGGGTCCCGGGTTCAATCCCCGGTAGAGGGGGGAGAAAAGTCTGCCAAGAATGTTGATAAGGTGCACTTGAGAGCTGAGATGACAGTTCAGTGGGGAGGAAGTGTGAGGCCCTGAGTCGGGGTTTTATTATCCAGTCAGTACTTCCCTCTGCACAATTCACTGACTTTGCTCTGGCATTGCCTACGTCCCACCCTCTGCTCTGGCTGCAGTCTCCCAGGGTGGCTCACCTTAGCTTCCCAGGTGTGAATCTGCCTACGAAGATGCCAAAGGTCCACACCCCACAACGTCACCATCCCTGGCCCTCACCAGGAAAAAGGGTAAAACAGATGCACTTTGGGGTTGTCATACTTAACTAGATGAGGCTGGTGGGGTCTCCACAGCGGCATCTCTCCCCTAAAATCACACAGATCCCTAGTGCATCTGCAAAAGGACAATCCCCCAGTGATCTGTGCTGGGCCTTTCAAACAGCCAGGTCAGGTGGACAAGTCTGCCCAGGAAGGGGATCCTGCTGGCTGTGGGAAAATTAAGGACCAATTCTCTAGGGCAGGATTTCCCCTAGAATAATTTTGGACCAGAGTCCATAGTTTAAAAAACAGAAATTGTTTTCATCAGAACATGATCAGAGTTCAAATGAGTGTGTGCACATGCACATACACACACACACACATACACACGCGCACACACACACACACAGAGGCATACACACTAGAGTCAGGGGTGAAGCCAAGAACACTGGAAATTAACAACAGATGGAAGAGATAGAGTACAGATCTGGCAGCATAGACCCTGAAGCGGGGGGAGGGGGCATTGTTATGGGATGGAGGTGTCCAAACTGAACTTTTGAAAAATAAATCTCATTTGGAAACATCCCCCAGACCCTGATCTCACCTGAAGCTTTATTTAAAAAAAATAAAATAAATAAAACCAAGGAGGGGGATTCTTATGAGATCATCCGAGAAATTCCAGCACTGAGCAGATATCTGATAACATCTAAGGAATTGTTGCTAATCATTTTCAGACAAGATTCTGATGTCCTGTCAGTACTTTGAAAAGAAGCTCTTGCCTTTTAGACGCATTACTGAAGTATTATAAAATGATGTCAGGTCTAGGATTGGTCTCAAGATAATCCAGGAGAAAAGACACAAATGGAATACGGTGTAGACAAACAAGATACACGGAGAATGTTGAAACCGGAGACGGGTGGGTGCTGGGGTGCCTCACACTGGCCTCTTTCTATGTGATTGAAAATACACAAGGTAGAGTTGAAGTGGACACCTGAGGGGAACCCCTGGGAAAACACATAAGGAAATTGCTAATCACCTTCCTTTGCTATGACAAATGACCTGAGCAAGTCAGCTCACTTAAGAAAGGGGATTTTTTTGTTTTTGCTTTGTTTTGTTTTTTGGCTCAGAATTTCAGATTGGCTGGCTTGATCCGGTGAGCTTACAGTGAGGCAGAACATTGTGGTGGCTGGAGCATGTGACGGGAAAGACTTCAAGGGTTAGGACACCGGCTATGTCCTTCAACCAGGCCACACTCCACGCCTCCACCAAACCCCAGTGACATTGTCTTAATGATCCATCAGTGGAGTGATCCCCTGAGGTCAGAGCCCTCGGGATCCCACCTCCTCAGATCCCACCCCTGACCCTCTGGCGTGTCCAGCCCACCCACCACACAAGGCGAGCACCTGGGCAGTCAGCTCAAAAATCTGCTTGGCACTTACAGGACTGGGGAGTGGCGAGGAGAGTGTCACATGGCATGTGTGAGGCTGTGATTCTGGGAGCCCTGAGGACGGAACTCCCTCGATTTTCCCATCCTACCTCAGTGGACAGAAAGAAAGGCATCTCACATACAGCTGGACACAGTATGTTTTCCCCTTGGGTGACAGAAGCAATAGCCACATGGGAGAGGACAACCTAGGCTGCAATAGCTGATTTTCTCCTTCGTATGTGTACACATTTGTGTGTGTGCATGCTTGTGTGTGTGCATGTTTGTGTGTGCATCTTTGTGTGTGTGCATCTTTGTGTGTACACGTTTGTGTGTGTGCATGTTTGTATATGATATGTGTGTACATGTTTGTCTATGTACGTGTGTACATGTTTGTGTGTGTGCATGTATGTGTGCATATATGCTGTGTGTGCACACATACATGAGACTGCATGTGAGAGGTCAGCACCAAGAGTCTTCCCTGATTGCTCACCGTGGTTTTTGAGGCAGAGTCTCTCACTGAACCTGGACTTGCCCGTGACTCCTGAGGAGCTGCCCATCTCTGTCCCCGCTCTCGCCAGCTTTTCACACCGGATCCAAACTCAGGACCTCATGCCTGTGTGGCTAGCACACGACTGAGCTGCTCCACGAGTCCTCCTTCTCTCCTTCTGAAAGAACAAAGGAAATTCATAATAAAATTGACAGGACGGCTGACTTTAGTGGAGGCCAGAATAGGACATCAGGCACATTCCCCATCCCTTTCCACCATCTCTCTCGTTTCGTTCTGCCTTGGGCTTCCCTTCCCTTTCCTCCTCCCTCTCCCCTTCCCTTCCCCTCCTCTCTCTCCCCTTCCCTTCCCCTCCTCCCCTTCCCTTCCCCTCCTCCCCTTCCCTTCCCCTCCTCCCTCTCCCCTCCTTCCTACCCTTTAAGGCAGGATCTTATTATGTAGTGGGGTTGGTCTCGAACTCTCCACCTCTTGCCCTCACTTTCTGGGCCCTGAGCTAACGGGTTCACACCAACACACTCAGTTCGTTGTGATTTGCGATCTTCGTAATAGAATCACTTGGGTGTCCAGTCTGTTTCCAATGGGCGTCAGAGAGCTGTGCTGATTTTATTTTAGCTCAGAGTTTTGGACAAGAGTGCTCAAAGTTCCTGCTGAGGAGGCACCAATCACCTCACAGTTACTGAGAAGACCACCAAAGGGGGGAACTCCGTTTGACAGGGAGGTGGTTGTATAATGCGGATACTGAGAGCTGTTTTGAAAAATACAACACCAGCCAGATACAATACAAAAATACAACGCAACAGCCCAAACTACTCTAGAAATACTCTCTAGCCAATGGAGCCTGTGTCCTCCTCCTGCCCACTGAGTTACTAAGGAGACAGATTTATTCTGTCCACCAAGCTAGATATATGTGAAGTAACAATTCAAACCCAATTACACTTGGGTTTGGTTGTGGGTGTGACTCTGTAGATGAGATAGTCAGACAGACAGACAGACAGTACTTCCTGTCTGTCTTCCTTTACCCAGCATTACCTGTCTCCTGTTGAGCCCCTCTAAACCAGCTCTCCAGAATCACACAGGAGTGAGTCCCTGCTGCTCCCAGGTCAACACAATTCGAACATTTCCACCAAATGTGATCCAAATGGACACTTCAGGCTTGTTGTTTGTTTTTTGAAACAGGATCTCACTATATAGTCCCAACTGGCATCAAACTCAGAGCAAGCCTCCTGCCTCAGCTTTCTGAGTGTTTAGGTAACAGGATGGAACCACCACACCCTGCTTCCATGTCAATGTTTTAATGGGAAACTTGGCTCCGGTGGGAACTTCAGACTGTTGTTGCTTCCTCTTCTGGGTGCACACCGCCCTAGACTTATAAGATGATGCACACCAGAGGCTGGGGACCCCCCCTCCGGCTCCGGACACCTGCGCTTTGTGTGACCCACAATGGCAGCCTGTAAGTGGGCAGAACTCGGCAGACAGATCCCCATCACAAACCCCAAACCCACTCCACCGAGCTCTATGAACTACCTCGCCTCACACTCCATGATCCAGGGGCAGAGCTGTAACAGCTCAGGGCCTGTAATTCTCACCCTAACAACCATTTCCTTAACCTTAGCAACCCTCTCCAGGAGTGGTTTCCATCTTTTAAAAAATGAAAAGCCTCTATTCCTTTAAGGCAGAGCCTCCCCGGCTCTCATGTTGTCCCTTCTCTGGCTTGACTTCACCAACAGCAGAGACTTCATCCATCTTTAGGTATTTGGTGAAGCCTTCTCAAGCTAGGTCGCTTTTTTTTTAAATTTTTATTTTGTACATTATTATTTATTTTGTGGACGTGAGTGTGCATGGGCTGGCAAGCCATGGTGTGTGGAGGTCAGAGGACAACTTGTAGGAACAGGTTCTCTTCTTGAACCACAGGAATGCCATCGATCACACTCAGGACACCAGACTTTATGGTGACCACTGAGTCATCTTGATGGCCCCCATTTCAGTTTTTAAAAAAAGTCAAATGAATCATACATCACATGTTCTACACCTGCGATTTCTTGCATGCAGCTTTCTCCCACATGTGGGCTCCTGGATGTTTGTGATGAACACAGATGCCTTGAGACACCTGCCAAGACGTGATTTTCACTTCCTCCCAGATCCTGACAGGAGTCTCCTCCTGGGGTTCTCCTTGGCTCTTTCTGCAACTCATTGGGGTCATGGGCAGGGTCCTTGGGACAGAGGGCAGTTGACACCAAGGGGATGTCAGAATTCTCACGGCTGCACTTAAAACCCCCAAAGGTTTGTTCGCACAGAGATCGAAGCTTAGTTGTTCCTGTTCCCAGCCAATCAGGGCATCCGTCCAACTGCTCAGACACAAAATTTGCCTGGGTGACACGGCATCGTGAGTCTCTGGTCCAGTTGCCTTAGGAGGCAAGAACTACAAGCTTGTTTCTGCTACAAACTGATTCAGGAGAGGGGTGTTTTGGTTCTGTTGTGGTGGGTTTTTTGGTTTGTTCTTAGTGTTTTTAAATAATGCTTTCAGCCTTATCATAGTAATTTTTAAAATAAAATTAGTGCTTATATATGAAATTTACCAATTTTTTTAAATTAAAAATAAAATTGGCAACTGGGCAGCGGTGGTAAACACCTTTAATCCCAGCATTTGGAGGACAGAAGCAGGCAGATCTCTGTGAATTTGAGGACAGCCTGGTCTACAGAGTGAGTTCCAGGACAGACTCCAAAACTACACAGAGAAACTCTGTCTCAAAATAAATAAACAAATAAATAAATTACCTTTCCTAGAATTTGACACACACACACACACACACACACACACACACACACACACACACACACACAATGCATTAAACCTGGCATGGTCGCACCCATCTTTAATCCCAACAGAATCTGGAAGATCTGTCTGAGTTCCAGGCCAGTCAGGTCTACATAGTGAGGCTCTCTCAAAACAAAGAAAACAACAAAATTGGTGTTCTTCCCTCTACATCTCCTCAGTCAGGGCATGGAGCTTCACCCACCATCTGCAAAACTGTGGTATGCAGGAACAGAGTAGGAGGCGGGGAACATCACTGGCTCTGGAGGATCTCGGTCAGGAGGGCTGAGCTAACGAGGCCAGTTCCCACCACGACTGTCGTCGGGAAGGGAGTAGCGCTTAGGGTGAAACCGAGGTAGTGAAACCAGAGAACCCAGGACTGGACTCCGGGTGGGCAAATACAGCCACCACCTACCGCTGAGGGGCAGAGAGCGCGGGCTCATAGCATTCAACACAGAGCATGCAGGAAGAAAAGGGTGTTGTGGGGCTGGCCACAAATGTGAGTCTGCGGGCTTGTTTTGTTTTGTTTTTGTTTTTTGGTCCTTTGCTAGGTTGGAAAAAAGAACCATAAATATGAACCACATAGAAATACCTCCTCCGTGTTCCCCAAGTACAGATGAATGTGGGCAAGAGAATGTGTTCCTGGAAAGTAGAGCAGGCTCTCCAACCCAAGAGAATGAGGAACGACCGCCCCGATGCTGGAGCTGTTTAAACACATTCTTCCCCCGGTCTGTTTCCATGGAGAGATCACGATTTGTTTACCTGTATTTAAAGATTAAAGTTTTCCCGTGGTGCCTTGAGAGAGAGACCGTGCACTCTCAGATTAGGATGATCACCTGACTCAGAGTTCATCACCTGATCAACTGAGCAAAGTTACAACCTCGGAGGCCTGGACCAGGGAAGCCCGTGCAGATGGAGTGGAGGTTGAGTGTCTCACCAGGGGAATGGACGGCAGGTGTAACACCTCCTGCATGCGGAGACTTAAACAGCTTTGTACTGATGCTGCTTACTTCTCTTCCTGTCTCCTCAGGACAGTGGCTGATGTGTGTCCAGACCCCATCTCCCACCACCTCCCTCCTCTTCAGGTAAACTAACATCCTCACGGGTCCCTTAGTTCTCTGCCCTGCCCCGTCCTCTGACCCTTTACATGTGCTATTTTTTTCCACCTAGCATACCGGCTCCCAGATCCCCCCATGACAACTGCTTCTTAGCCTTCAAGGGTCACCTCCTCGGGGAGTGCCTCCGGCATCACACAACGCAAGACAGTTGCCCTGCCCCAGGACCCCCTCCTTCCCATCTGCTTCTGCCCCTGCGCCAGCCTCCCCGGAAGCTGCTTGCTGACTTGTTTATCTGCACTCTGTCCATCCTCTGAAGCTGGAACCTATTGTCAACAGATGGATCGTGTTCACTGCCATGTCCAGGCGGCCAGCGCAGCAGCTGTGGCAGCCGCAGAGATGCCCCCATCCGTATGTTAAGTGAAGTAAGAGGTCTGTGTGTGGATGACTGCCTTGACAACCTCTGCTTAGGGACCTGTTGTTTTACATCTGACTTGTTCTGGTTTGTTTTTTTTTTTTCCGTGTGTACAATATGGGCCTGCCAGGGAAGACCTGGCACCTAGCCGTCACAAAGAAATGTCATGTTAGAGATGGACAGATGACTCCGAGGTTAAAAGCCCTGACTGCTCCTCCAGCAGACCCAGGTTTGATTCCCAGCACCCACATGGTGGTTCACAACCATCTGTAACTCCAATCCCAGGGGGTTGAATGCCTTCTTCTGGCCTCTGCAGGCACCAGGCACACATGTGGTGCACAGACATAGATGGAGGTGAAACACCCAGACACATAAAATAAAACGTCATACTGCTGGATCGGATGCTATCATATTTTCATTTCCTATCAGCATGCTAACCCAGCAGATAAACTAGCATCCTCACAGGCCCCTCAGGTCTCTGCCCTGTCCCCTGCTCTGAGCCTCTAAATGTGCTCTTCCTTTCATCTAGCAAACTACCCTCCCCCCGCCCCAGCTGTAAAAATCCCCCTATGGCAGCTGTAAAAATCTCTGTTAAAAGCAGCACAAGGTTTATTGTTTACTGGGTTCAGAATTCTAGGTCACGAATTCCAGGTCACGGTCTGTCATTGTAAGGATGACACGGGCAGTCAGGAGCTTGATGCAGCTGGTCACACTGTGTCCAGTCAAAAGCAGAGAGCCAAGAATAATGCATGCATGTCAGTGCTCAGCTGAAATCCAGGACCTTTTGCCCAAAGACTAGTGCCACCCACAGAAGGTGAGCCTTCCTACTAATCAAGACAGTCTCCCACAGACACTCGCCCCCACCTGCAACCCCCAGGCCAAGGTCATCTAGACAGTTCCTCATTAAGATTCTTTTTTCCAGGCCAGGCTGGCTCATGCCTTTAATCCCAGCACTCGGGAGGCAGAACCAGGCAGATCTCTGTGAGTTCGAGGCCAGCCTGGTCTACAGAGCAAAATCCAGGACAGGCACCAAAGCTACACAGAGAAACCCTGTCTCGAAAAACCAAAAAAAAAAAAAAAAAACCAAACAAACAAACCAAAAAACTCTTTTTTCCAGGTGATTCTAGATTTGTATCAAGTTGGCAGTTACAAACCAACCGGCCCAGACAGCAAAGCCGGTAGGTAGGCAGGCTTCTCCAGCTGAGATCCCTCATTTTCACAGGTAAGTCCGTCGCCTGCCATTTGGCTGGGAATTTTGATATGCACTCTTTAAGCAAATTGTTAATGTTGACAGAGACCCTTAAAAAGAATGCTGGACCTGGCACATTCTAAGCTTGGCCCCACAATCAATGCTTTGAGGCTCTCTTCAGGGCTGTGATGAATGGAGTCAGAACTGGGTTGATGTCCGGTACTCAGCAGCCTTTGGAAACAGTGGTTCCCAGGA